CGGTTCTGAAAAGGCAGGGTACAATTACGGTCAGGCTGTACAAGAGGTGGAGACCTTATTTCTAGTGTGATTTTAGGATAGCATATGAGCATTATGAATGGAAGGCCCCATGTTCTGGCTGCTCTTGGTGACGGACCGCTCTACAAAATAAGGCATGGTTTATGGTGTGCCTATGAGCATGCACAAGATCAGCTTGCGCTACGCTCATAGTGGTTTAGGAGAACTATGCACATGTCCAATTCACGGACCGGGATCGGACCTGTACGATATGCACAGTATATCGAGGACAAAAACAGCAAGTCATAGCTGCATTCGAGAATATACCTGGTATTGTGCAATGCTGTCGATAAGTCTTATGCGAGAGACTTACTATATACTCACTGTTCAGACCACAGTTTGGGGCAGCGGTCAAAGCCTTGAAATGCTGTTTGTAACGAGAATTGCTATCTGTTTACAATATATTCAGATCAATCACCGATGAAATAACAATTGACTCATGAATCTGGTCGACTCCAGGCAATGTCAGCGTGACCACTCAACAAATCCTGTTGACTGACACTTGGCAAACGGATATCTGCTCATCAAGGACCTTATGACGCGGCAGTCTCCCCTTCACTATGCGATAGTGAGAGAGAATGTGTCACCTAGGATTCGAAGACGATATGACTATACTCCTTACAATTCGACTCTACTACACTTAGTCACTTCGAATAAAGATTTGTTTCCAGGGTATATATTCCTTGTTTACCATACTGCCACTTCCTTCTTCTCTCCAGTACGCCTTAATCTTCTCTTCAGACTTTGGATTGCTGAGTGCAACATATTTCACCACTACTTATTCAACTCTCTTTAATTATATACGGAATAAGTTATCAAGATGTCTAACGACCAATGCGACAACAACATTTGTTCCTCCTCATCAGCACCTACTAACAGTGGACCATCCGATGTAAGTCTCCCTCAGACCGTATTTGCCCACCGTTAACCTCTTCCAGTCTCCTCGAGGACAAATCTTCCCAAGCCCAGGCCTCTACGGAAGCTTGTTAACGCACGAGGTACCCAAAGAGGAGTCCATCGACAAGCTAGTGTCCCGTATCATGGCCCCACCTCGCGATCTGTACAGTGCCGACGGCAAGATAGTCACACTGACTAAAACCTGGGTGGTTGGTCTCATCGGCAAAGACCGCTTCGAAGACTCGGGCCCACTTCTTTACTACGTCCTTTGTCACGGTGACGAGCTTCGCGACCATGGTCTCGAATATGGCTTATCTGAAAAGGTCTTGAGCTGGTTGATCAGCACCAAGGACACTGTGGAGTTGCCGATTGGTCATTTCAGTTACGTCTGAGAGGGTACTTGGAGGGTAAGTCTTCTCTGGGAGGCCATGTCGGATGGTAGATCGTGACAGACGAACACCAAGTAGTTTTCACACGTTCACGACTTGTGACTCCTGGCTGTTTCTAGATAGTCAGAGTGCGACATGGCTGGCTAGACCCATCAGCTGTTCTTGCGATAGATGAGATGGCTAGAGGGTATGTAAGCGCCAAGGCCTTTGACTCGGAAGTCTTCGTAGTATGAATTGGATAACTACAATACCACTACATCCGCGTGGCGACATAGTACGTAATGAAGAACACATGAAGCTGATTTTCAACATCATTTTTGGTTGTGGAGATCTGAGGAGAGCACTTGGTACTCTTCGACCATGCCTACTCAGGGGTAAGTACTTCGTGACCTCCTTGCAGCACGTTTAAGTACCTAGTCACTTGCGCTTGGTCTGCATACAACCAACAAGGCAGAGACGCAATCAGATCTCCAGAACGCATGCCGTTCCCAAAGAAGTTCACTCTTCTTGTCTTGCTGAACGCAATAGGTTCTAGGGGTTTCCGGTGCGTCTTACATTGATCTAGTAACAAAGTTCAAGCTAACGTATGCATTAAAAAGATGTCACTTGTACAGTGAACCACATTTTATACCCAATCAGACTGAGCAACAGCACATCAAGTTCAACGCGGAGTTGTATAAATATAATGCATCGGACTATTGAATAATCTCCTTGCTTCACCGGTCCCGGAAGTGATTGATTTCTTTTTCCAAGTGGTTGGTCTACGGATGTTACCGTCCAAATGAGGCCAAGACGTTACTGTAACTCTGACTTCCGGCGGAGAGGGCAGATCATGCACAAGAAGAGTCTGTCTGTCGCACACGTTGCTCCGCCAAGGGTGATCATCCATCTTGGCGCGCCATTTCCGCGATCTTGTGGAACTCGAAACGACTACCATGGGAGGTCAGGAGGTATCCAGGGTGTTGCCCTATGGGAGCTTGCCCAGTCGTGACGAAACCTTGATCCTAACAAGCACATAGTCTTGTTAGCGGAAGCTTCACTGCGTCTTAGCGCGGTATCAACAGATTTGGTGCCTGAGATACGGTCTAAAACGTGTTCCTGGATTCAGTGTTAGTCAATATTGCATGCCTGCTCCGTAGAAACAGCCGAACTCTTGTGGGCCGAAGCGTCACTATGTACGCGAGATGTGTAGAACGTCTGAAAGCGGTGTCAACAGCGCCCACCGCTGGTTTGGTTAGTCTTGTGTCTGTTGCGCTGTGCTGCCTGCCAAGGGACAGATGCTTTGTCCGTTGCCGTTGATGATATGTTGTGACAGTAACGGGAAGGAAGCTGATCCCGACGCACATGTGGTCAATCTGATCTAGATTGGCTGTTCGGACTATGAGCGGCAGATGAACAAGTGCCAAGCGCGGAACGCAGTTCCTCCAGGGTGCCAAGAAGTGTTCAATAAAAGCAAGTCGTCGAGATTATTGCCAAGGTTGGTGATCCACGGCGTGGAGGTAGTGGAACGAAGACGTGTCTTTAGGAATAGTTTTTGTGAAACAATTATCCATGCACAATGCAGTCCATCTTACATATTCACGAGGTCGGACCGACGGTGTTTGAGTTGCTGTCGCATATTGCAAGCAGGCCGGGTCGAATACTGACAGATGGTCGTGACTTCCTTCCGAATGCGCGTACCCCACAAAACGCACGAGCCGCGTGCAGATGGAGAAATAGCGCAATCTCCGCTGCGAAACGTGTTGAACGTTCTGCGGGTGGAAGAAGAAACAACGACTACTGCAGGTGCAAGTGGGTGACAGTGGAGAAACTACGGGATAGGAAACCAGTCGCTTGACTACAAGTCTAGCAGGACTCACCGCCATAGTTACGCGACGACGTCAGAGTGTGTATGTATTGGCCAGGCTGCATCTGTCAGCTATGCGATGGAATGAGGCGGAGTATGCCTGTTGCGTGGGAGCAGCAGGCTAATTACTCCAATGGCCGACGTTGACGCAAATCTCTTGCAAAGCAAAACCGAGTCGGCTCGCCCGACGTTTGGAGTGTCGTTGACCTATTCGTGGAACGCGATCAGGGTGCACATGGTCGCGATCGGGAGCCGTCTCAGCAGGCGTCCCTGTCAAGAGCACTGCAGATGCTGGCAGGTTGCATGAGGTGATACGAACCCCGCAATCCCATTTAATAGCACTGGAGACAGATGCTCAGTGACCACGGGACAGAGTCTGCAAGCAATCAATGGGCCTCGAAACCTCGGTGTCGTACTATATAGCGTGTGTCGGCGAAGAGGGAGCTGGTCCAGCTGGTCATTGCGAGATGCAATAACCATGGCGGGGAAATGGCGTCGCAACGGCTGGTGACCCCCACGATATTCGCCTGTCGCGTTCGGCGGCAAAGGGCCGCCTAAGCTTTGGATTGACGGCGCCCTGAGCTGGGATGCGAGGGCATCACGCCGAACCATCGTCAGTTGATGTCTAGAGCTGCACAAGCAGCACATCCGCAAGGAGAGCGAATGTCAGCACGGCGGACACGGAGGCGTCCGCCTACGACCAGACGGTGTACAGAGGACGGCAGGCTGTCTTTGAAGCACATTGATGATGACTGCAGCAGCTCAGACCACATCCAAAGGCGGGTGCGGCATTTTTTCCACTGTCCAGGCAAGGCCAGCATGATGCCCATTGCCCTCTCCAGGGCTCTGTCTCTCGTCTGGCAGGTGGAGGGGCGACAGGAAGCGCTGCTGAATCAAGGGGGGCCGCCGTCACGCGATGGCGTATCGGAGTGGTTCAGTTAGTAAACGCCTGGTGGCTGGTTGCAAGACGTAGTTGCATTGTGTCGGAAGCGCGGGTTCGTGCTAGACGTGAGCCTCGTTTGGGCTTTTGTGGAGATGAAAGGGAAGGCCGTAAGTAGACAAGCCGGGCGGTCAAGCTTTGCAGTCTACGATCATCGACGCACATCATCCATCATACGGCGCTGGTGTGTGGTCGCAAGGTCCGGGTCCTGGGGCAGAGCGCACGGTGTAAGAGCATTACTGGGCGGCCTTTGCAAGACGTGCATCCGGCCTGCAGGTGGCCTCTGGCGCTGTGGGGGTTGCGCAGGGGACTTGGGCCGGGGTGTTTTTGGCGTGAATTAAAGAGAGTTTAGTCCCTCTCTGCGACTTCTGGAGCCCACATATCATTGCGCGAGGCCCCGGGCGCCGTCTGCTCATACTTTCTGGGACTATTGCCGTCTCTGTCTGGCCTGATTGCTATTCCAAGGTTAAGTGCGCGAGCAAGGCGGAGAGAGGGACGTCATCTTCCCTGTCGCTTGCCTGCCTGCATCTGGACCCTTCGACATTCACCCCTCGGCCGCTGCAAACCTCAATCGCGTGTCGTCGGTACCACATTCCGACGCAACATAATTCTTCTCCCCCAGTCACCCATAGCACTTTGTGTATATGGCTCTGTCACAATTGCAACATTTCTACCACACCCCGCTCCTGCTGCCCACCCTACACCTGCATTCGTGCAGTACGCTCGAAGGCTCGTATAACCGTCCGAGCCCTCTTCAGCGTGCGTAGCGACAAATCCCAGCACCCCGTCGTATTTCCGTATCCGCAACATTCACCCTCGATAACGCTCGGTCCCTTGCCGACCAATCGGAGAACAACAGTCACCCTTCACCATGCCGATGGTCGCTGAACAGCCACGGCAACTGTCGATTTCCTTCGATGAGCAAACACTCTCCGACCGACTTCGCTACCGCGACTCACGCCCGCTCGACCACCGCTTTGCTATTGAAGAGGAGGACGAGAGTACCGGCACCGCAAGCGAGCCCGCAGAACCTCTCACGCCCACCAGCCATACCAGCGAAGGCTCACCCTTCTCGCATCCCTTCCGTGACGATGATGGGTCTGTAGACGACGTGTTCGCGACCCCACGTCCTACCACGGATGACATGGAGAACAAGTCACCTTCCCAAGAAGTGCCCCAAAATACCCAAAGCCCACCGAGCATTCGGGCGCCTCAACAGGTCGAGCGACAGTCACCACCAGAGAGGCGTGGCCTCGGAAAACTGGGTTCTCTAATCCGCGGCAAACTGCACAGAGGACATTCAAGCAGAGATGGAGGCAACCAGTCCGAGACTCCTAACTTTTCGACGCCCAACAGGTCTCCCAAAACAAAGGCAGAGACCAACACATATATTGTCAAGACTGGCGTAGATGGACCAGCTGAGATAGCAACACCAGCAGTCGATATCCCCAAGCAAAGTAGGAGGTTGAGTTCCTTCTCACTCACACGACGCTCGGATAAATCTTCCCGTGCAAATTCCCCGCCCTTATCTGGCTCGCCCATGAGCAGACCATCGATGGACAAGCGACCAGGACTTGGCGAAAAACCTGCATCGTCAACCGGCCTGGCAAGCATGAGCAGACCTCGACCTGGTGTCACCTGGGCGGGCAGTGGCAATGCGAATTCTACTACTAGGAAGTCGGGTTTCTCACGGCGACGATCAGCAAGTACGGAACAAGTCCCACGTATCGATGAGAACGCAGAAAAGCCCACCGCTGGTATGCTAAGTACTTTCTCCAAGCCGGCCGTCCAAGGTGTGGGCATGAAGGCACGGCGGCTTAGCATAAATCTCCCAGATGACTTCATAATAGACTGGTGCGAGCTGGATAAGGAGTTCAAAAGTTCGAGTTTGATGCCTGGAAAGAGGGGAAAAATTCTAGGCAAAGGTGCAACGTCTGAAGTTCGGATCATGGCAAGAAGAGGTGGCATAACCAGGGAAGAGGATTTAGTAGCTGTAAAGGAGTTCAGAGAACGCGACAAGGACGAAACCGAGGAAGACTACGTCTTAAAGATCAAGTCCGAATATAGCATTGCGAAGAGTCTGCACCATCCGAATATTGTCGAAACCGTACGGTTATGCACGAATCGCGGCCGCTGGAATCACGTAATGGAGTTTTGTACATATGGAGAGATCTACTCTCTAGTAGAACGGAAGCTTTTCGCTGGTGGTGCGGAAGGGTTTTATAGTCGGGACGATCGGTTGTGCTTTTTCAAGCAGTTACTGCGGGGCGTCGACTACTTGCACAGCCACGGCATAGCTCACCGAGACATCAAGCTAGAGAATCTGCTTCTCAGCAAGGAAGGCCATCTTAAGATCTCGGATTTCGGCGTGGCAGAAGTTTTTAGCGGTGAGCATCCTGGGCTTCGCGCGTCTGGTGGTGAATGCGGCAAGAACATGGGCGAAATTCGATTATCTGCGCCTGGCATCTGCGGCAGTCTGCCCTATATCGCTCCGGAAGTACTTGAGAAAGACCACAGCTACGACCCACGTCCATTAGATATATGGTCAACAGCCATCGTCTATCTCACCATGACCTTTGGGGGATGCCCATGGCAGGCTGCGAAGCCTGAGTTCGAGTACTATGCACGATTCAAGAAGGGCTGGGATTCATGGCTGGAGCGTCACCCAGATGGTGATATCTTCGATGGTATCGACGGCCACCCAAAGTGCGGCAAGCTTTTCAGCCTCATCGAGCCCCCATCTATCAAACGACTGATGTTGAAGATGCTGCACCCAAATCCCTCTAAACGCATCACGATTAAGGAAGTACTCAAAACTACCTGCATTAAGAACATTGGCTGCTGCTGTCCGGAAACATACGATGACCCCAAGATCACGTTTGACGCTTCCAAGGCATCGAGTGCTAGGACCGCTGCTCCGAAAAAGTACCTTCACCACCACATTCCACCCAAGCCGGAGAACAAGGTTGGAAAGGCGTTCACTCATCGGTTTGACATGGGCGAACGATAACAACAACTGCATTTTTTGATGACTACTGTTCCACGATCACTGCATTACGGCGCTTGGATGTTGAGCATAGCGGGTCAAAAGGCGGATCTTGTGTCGTTTACAGTGTCGGTGCTGCACTGTATACTTGTCTCACTAGCATGTCAGTTCTTGCAGTATTCATCGAATGCTCATTTCAAACGATCGACATATCGCATTATCTTCATCTCTCGTCCAACCTTCCATTCCCATTTCTCCCGAGCATCTTTCCCTATCAAGCACACGTTGCGCGCACGATCAACATCATTGGCAGCCCTGCAGAAAGCGCAAAACGGCGATTGCCCTAGTAGCACGCACCGGCGCTCCACTGCCTCCACTGACTTTCGGAGCAATTATGATTGCGCAACTTGCAGCTAGCGATAGCTTATGCTGATCTTCCGCTCTTTATCGCTAAACCCTATCTTCTGACACATCTGTAGCTTTCGTCATAACGCATAGCGGCCGCACCGACCCTCTTCACATTTCGCTGTTATGGGGCATTGGATCCCGACCTTGCATCGCTGCGATGGGAATCAGGACAGTTGGTTTGCTAATGGCCCGTCCGTCCGACGTGGCGCCGAGATACTTGGGTCTCTGGAACGCTGGTCGATTGCCTTGGCGAGGGAGGAAAACGAGTCGCGCGCGGAACAAGACAATGCTGCGATCGTAGACCTGAGAATGGGTGGCGTATAACGGGTACAACACCCGCTAATGTTGCGCATGCCTAAGGTTGCGTGTGCGAATACGGAATCTGCATGTCATCAAAACGTGGGGAATGATCAGAGCATGGAGTAAGTCGACAAGACGCGAATCCGACCCAAGGAAATGACCATCTCGACGAAAACACGTGGGGTAGATAATACGCTGACAGTGCGCGATTGAGTTTTGATGCAACGAAGCATTGGCGCAGCACGTTAGCGGGCGGCGCTGGGCGATTTCCCAAACATGCTTCTCGAATGCGGGGCACAAGTCAAGGCCGTCGTCCACATCCTCGCTCACAGTATGCCAAACTTCCGCCGAGCTTCAATCAAGCGTTTGAGCCGAAGTAACACAGAAACCGCGTCATGTCACCATCGGCGCGTTGGTCGGAGCAGAGAATCGGCGATACGTCCGAAGCTGACTACGTCTCAACTATTCGGCCTTCCGACTTCTTGCGCGAGTGGGCGGGGTAACGCGTTGCTGCAGTGGTGTGTCGCGTGCAGCTCAGCTTGGGTATCACACGACTATGAACAGCATGGCGAGCGGACGGGAGGCGGCGCGGCCGAGCTCTCTGTCCCGTGCTTGTTGCGGCTGAAAAGAAGGTTGTGGTTGTAGGCATCAATGACGTATATTTGGCTTTCCACACCCCCACGAGATGGGTTCTTCGAATGAGCTTGAATAACTCTTCCACACATGGAGCCCTTCGAACAAAGTCGTTAATATAAATTATATGAGGAGCAAAGATACATGTATTCTCAACAAGTCCGCATGCACATCTGGATGGCAGCACATGAGGACGAGGATCACATTGGCAAAAGACCAACACATAACCCACAAACTCTTTCCAGCCCAACACCTCCATCCAGTCCTACACTCCCACCCTCCAACTCCGCATTAATAATTCCGAACAACGTTTTCTTTCACCGATGCAGATCTGCCTGAAGTCATGCAATGCACAGCGCATCCCTGCCGCATCACCTTGCAGAGTGCGGTGTGATGGACTTTTCTTCCTTACATCGCACGGCACGTGTCCACCTTGACGCCCGGTACTATGCAACCATTTGGCATTAAGGTTTGCGCCCAGTGTGCCTTATCTCACATAAGGTGTCTCGAAGCGAATGCTTAGCATAAGAGTGATAGGTTGGGGTGAAACGCGTGATACGTGGAGTTGCACGAGATGCGTGGGGTGTGACTAGCGGTGGAGAGTAACAGTAGGTGTGGTCGGGTATACGGCACATGCTGCGGTGTGCGTCATAGGAGATGGAATGGAAGGTCTTTCGTTAACGAACTTGGGAAGAAGAAAGCTTCTTGCTACATGCGTGTATTGCGTATACATATGTAATGCTTTCAGTGTAGTAATATGCGTGAAAATGTAAGATACGATAAGTCACTTTCAACACCTCTCCTGAATTACCAATAATTGAATACAAGCTATCGTCGCTAGAATCTGTTCCGCATCGTGTACAACAATCTTTCTCTTCCACTCTATCATCACGCAGCTCTACCCACTCCGGCTAGATACTTCCCACTCACCACATCTCCCACACGCCCTCTGGTAACACCGACCTCATAATCTTCCAATGACTGACTGCACCATCTTCATGGAACTTCTCCAACTCGCCAACATCCGCATTACCCATAACCCTACCTCCATCTTCCTTGCTGACGAAATCGTACTTGACCTCCAACTTCTTTTGCGGCTGAAGGAAATTTGTGCGTGCAATACTACCCAGGAAGTCCTTTGGAACCGCATCACGGAACTTAACAGCCGCTTTGCCTAGCCCATGATCGTTCTTGACGCAGAAAATGACCATGTTGATGAAATCAGCTTCACCCTCTTTGTGTTCCGCTGGTGCGGGAGAATCGCGGAAGAGGCGACAGGCAGGGAAAATGGCGTGAATGGTGTTTAGCACTAGTCTGGTTGAACCCAGTGTAAGGTCACCAGCGTAGTTGATCGCTACAACACCCTCTGGTGTCAACAAGTCGTAGAGGCCTTGCATGAACTCTGTGGTGAAGAGATAGACGGGTTCTGCGCCGCCGGTGAAGACGTCGTGGATGATGTAGTCGAAGCTGCCTGGTGCTGATACGGATTTGCGTGCGACGTAGGCGGTTGCGTCGTCGATTACGGCGGTGTGGTCGGGGCTCAGATCAAAGTATTTCGTGGCGTAGTGGTGGACTACAGGGTCAAGTTCGACAATGGTAGTGTTAATGCCGTGTTTGATCATGGCGTTAGGTGCCGTTCCGATACCAAGACCGATTACTAGAGCGGACTTCTTGCTATCATCGATAGTAGGTAGAGTGTCTACTGGTGGTTCGATGAGACGAACAGCTTCGAGAAGGACAAAGACCGCGAATATGGATTCCCGTTGCCGTTGACCCTTAGCATAGGCTTGCGGTGTGACCTGCCACTCGCCGCCGAGGAGAGAGTGGTCACATCGAAGGAGACGAAAAGCATTGTCGGCGTGGTTCTCGAGGACGGATACGTATCCCGTAACAGACTCCTGGCGGGCGAGAAGCGTGTAGTTTTGTGTAGCTTGCAATGTGGAGTTTGCTAATTGGAGACCGTGAGCTGAAGGGTGGTGTGGGTTTGTCCAGAGCGTGTGCAGAATTGCTGGGAAGGCGAAGAGGATGACACGCGAGGGACTGAAGAAGGCTGACGCCGATGCAAGGAGCATCTGCATACCAACGCGTGTGAAGTAAACAGATGTTCCGATGAAGCTTGGGATGAGAGCGCTGCTGATCTTGGCCACGGTCGACACGGTAAAGTAGGATGCTGTAGGGACAATGACCTCCTTGATAGGCGAGGGATTGATACCAGTGATGTCGATGCATTCCAGGAGATCGGCCGCAGCGAACACTGAGAGGAATAGCAGGGGAAAGTATGTCAGGGACTCGATGAGCAGAGGTCCATATTCGATACCGATCTTTCCGCTGTATGGAAATAGTAGAAACTGAATGACGGGAGTCCAGTACGCAACTACAGCGATGTATTGTGCGACATTTGCAGATACGTAGCTCTTCAAAGCGCGTCGCGTGATAAGAGCTCCAACAGCAGTGAGGGTCATCGTCCGTTGGTGGTGTAGGGATGCAGGAATGGATCCATAGACCGGTGATAGATTGAGCTGCGAAACTGGTGATGCGAAACCTGCTACCAGGAGGAGTGCTGCCGCTCTACCAACGTTCAAAAGGATAGTCGACGCTGAAGCATTTTGCGCCTGTGGTTCCACCTCTTTTGCTGCCTTTGGCTTCTTCTGGATCTTTTTCGGTGACATGCTGTAAAATTCCTGTTCTATCTCTTTCTATTAATCAAATGCGATATCTATTGATCCAGTTGGTGTGGTAACTTTCGCGATGAGAAAAAAAGACAGGATATGTTCAATGTCGAAAAGACCAGATATTGCAGAAATGCTCCAAGCGGCCCAAGGTCTTCGCCCACTCTACACGGACCGTATATCCGTGATAGTGATGTATTCGGCCTGCGAACGACGAGATGTATCAACGCAACGCAAAAGAAGGATACAAGGCAGGAAAAGGAAAAGAAGGGACGTTGAAATTAAAAAGCCAGAAGGCCAGCTGTTCCTGGCTGAATTGTTTGATGCACGGGTGAAACTGGCGATCATTAAGGTGGAGTTCGTTTCGACTGGGCGCGTTTCGCACTAAAGTGTGGCGCCTAACGCCGCGTGTGGCGTCATTACCAAGCATTGCGAGATTGAGGATGCGCGCCGTGATCGATTGCTGCTCACACCTCAACTGCAGTGGGAGGACCTCTGAAGTCTCAGTCCCCTTAGTATGCCATACATGACGGGATCACCCACGATGGCGTCTCTCGCCCTACGACCAGCGAACGCGTCGGAAGAAGCCAAGAGCCCCGCCGGCGTCCACGACAGTACCAACGGCGATGCACCGGCACCTGTAGATGAAGATGTACCCATGGACGACGACATAGACGAATCGCTGCTCCGCGACCAACTGCGCCAACAACAAGACGAACGCGCCCAACGACTCCAAGCAAAGAACAGGCGCAAGCGTTACCTCGAGGTACACCCCGAATACTTCTCCGACGCGTCGCTCGAACTCGCCGATCCGCTTCTCTACGACCGTCTTATACGTCGCTTTCAAACCGCATCCGAGCGCGAGGCTGAAGGACGCAAAAAAGGCTTCTCTGGTCAAATGGCCACGGATCTGTGGCGCGCCGAAGCAAAGAAGGATGCGCTTTCACAGCCAGACCCAAACAGTCTCTTCACATACAACCGAGGACCACAGGGGCAGATAGTAGAGGAGGACAA